AGCAGGCTCCTCAGAGGAAGAGGGTAAAATACCAAACAGACCCAACAGCGGTGCACGTGGAACAAGGCTCACCTGGCGATGCCAAAAAGCATATTTAGGAAAACAAGAGGATTCCAGTATTGATACGGGTAGGAACGGCTAATTCCTTCAAATACATTAAAGTAGTGATCTATCTGTGAAAAATAAGATTAAAGCAGAAAAGGCGCTCTGTCTTATTGCATTTGAAAAGACAGGCCTGTATCATCCCTGCTTTAATCAGATTCCCAGAGGTACCATCATTCCCTGGCTCACTGAAGTTAAAAAAAAAAACCTAACAACAAAAAAAACCCCAAACAAAACCCCCAAAGTGCTAACATCTGTCAGCTATCTGACCAACACACACTATTAACAGGGTGTCTTAAAAATATCTGCGGGGATGCAGGCTATGAGCCGAAAAGCTGGGCTCCAAGTAGATCAAAATATAATCAGAATCAGCCACCAGGAAATACTCCCAGTAGAAACCAGCACTTGGTGAAACTTCAGCTGTCCTCCTTGGAGGGCCATTAGGCAGCTTTTCACCTGTACAAGAGGTTTAGAGCCAATACTTTTTACCAATCTGAGGAAAAGGAAAAAAACTTTTTATCCAAAGCAAAGTTTACAATTAAGAACTTGCTATTTTATTGCCTCTTGTCCCATGTGTCTTTATAAAAAAAAATCAAAACCCAAATGAGCAAACAACCACTTTTTCAAGTAATTATGATAGAAGCACTCTAGACAGCTACATTCCGAATTTTTTCTGCTAAAGATCAATATTAAATCACTGAAAAATATTTAACTAATAAAATAAAAACAAGTTAATGAGTTCTGTAAACGATTTCCCATTTCAGGATACCTTCAGAAAGTTAAGAAAAATGATAACTACTTAAAAATTTATATAAACTTTTTAATGATAGTTGTTTCTCACTAAAACCTATTATGCAATAATAGAGTGCCTGAATTGGAACGGACACAGACAAATACTCCAGTTATAACCATCTGGCTAGCTTATAGATAGTAAGTAAAATAAACTTCTGTCTCATTGCTGTTACTTTTCTATTTCATTTCATCACTAAGGAGTGCCACAAAACTAATGGGCATGTATATATAAAGTGACAGGAAAAAATGCTGTAGACCTCTTGGCATGGTATTTAATAGCCAAAAAATATTCTTGATGTCTTTGGTAAATAAATGTCAGGCCTTAATTACACAGTTTGCTAACCTTGTTTCCTTAGGCACAGATGGTAGGGTCAGAAATGAGCCAAAGCAGACAGAAACAGTATTCTACGTCTATTCTGAGGCCTATCATAAGCCACCCTACTAAACAGGACTACACACATAATTAAAAATTCATTTTATGGGGTCAGTGATGAAACAGAACTCAGATCTCTGGTTTCCCAAGGGAGCGATCTGACATCTAGATAAAGAAGAAGCTGTTCTAATTCCGGAGAGAGTCCCATTAAACCTGTAATTCTATTCACAACAACACAGTCTGATGCAAGAACCTCTGCCGTGGCTGTTTGGTCACACAGGCTTGTCCATTCGTCCTTTTGAGCATCTTCCAACTTGCAACTGCATTGGGGGTCTGCTTTGCACACCCGTATTTTGATCGTAACACTATACAAAGTGGATCGAGCCAACTTAATTGCAGACTTATTAAATTCTATGGATAAAAGTATTTTGTGAGGTGCTGGGGCTCCTGCATGTCCTGACCCAGGGGTGCGCCTGTCTCCCCTGAAGCTCCTGGAAGCTTACCTGGGGGGTGTTCCTGCCTTCCCGGAGCCCACCCCAGGGTGCTGCTGCCAGAGCCTCCCAGAGGATGGGGAATGCGAAGGCAGGGTTCCCTCTCCCAGACCCTATGGGATCCCCCAGACTGTATAGGGTCTCCTCCTCCTTGGTATGAGATGCTACCAACAAAGCACAGAGACCTCTGCAGAGAAAAGCCTTCCTCCACCCGACAGCCACGCCAGAGCCAGAAAGCAGCACTTACTCTACATAGTAGACACCATATACGGGATCCTCAATTTTCTCCCAACCAGCAGGCAACTCTGGAAATAGAAAAAGCATTACTGAAGCCTCCAGTGAAGTTTCTTCTGACAGGTCCTGCTCAGCATGCAAAACTCATCAGACCTCACTTCAGACACTTTTCAGAACAATCACAGCCCCCTTTTAAAGGCTGGCATAGCGGGCACCAACATCATAGCCTGTCCCACCAGTGCTGCGTTAGCAAATCAGTGGGAAGATGCGCATGCCAGTCAATTTTAGATTTGCTTTTTGCATTAAATGAACGAACAATCAATGAATTTCCTTTCTGGGAGTGCCTCAAGTACTCTCCTGGTTTGAGCATCATGGCTCTGGATGGAGGCACTGCAGTGGAAGTCGATGCAGGCAACAGGCCAGAGGCATTTTAACGCCAGCATATGAAGATGGGTGAGATTGTGGCAAGCAATTGTAGCACACGAACAGAGAGACCACCTTCATCTCCTGTACCAGGGCCAAGCCATTTATGCCCACCACTGATGAAAAAAGGGGTTTTTTTTACTCCTTTCTTAGGGATTCACACCGCATTGCCTATCCATGAGCCCAAGGCAAAAGCGCATCACGAAACAGGACAAAGTGAGTTTAACGCCCAGCGTATGGAATCCACCCAAGTGGGGCTGGCACGCACAGATGTATTTCACTGCATAGCACTTAATGTAAAAACACATATTGCCATAATCATATGTAACAGAGATTTCTTTTTTAAATTAGCATAATTAACAAAAAGCAGTTCCGAAGATGAAATTAACATTTGGAAATGTATCCACTTTTGTTCCTGTTGATTTTCTAGACTGCACATAGTACTTTAACTATAATTAGTGAATGTAATAAAATCAGTTCAGCATCCAACTGAGGGTTATTAAAGCTGTACATATTACTTAAGGGCCTGATCCTTGTCCCACTCATTTAAACACAATGTTCCCGTTGGCTGTGGGTACTGAAATAATCATTCTGTTAGCAATACAGAGTGGCATGTCTGTGTAATACTGTGAATCAACTTAAAAGAAGGCTCCACCATGCTATGGACTGTGCAAGTGTGGTCCTTGCCTCACAGACTCTGCACATTCATTTAAATAAAAATAATAATAACTAAAAATGCCATTGTCAGGTAACACAAGTTCAAATACTCCATGCGAAAAAATTCCTCAAAATTTATCACTAAATTGACAAGACTGATAGCAAATAATCTATGTTTGTTTACTCTCAAATGCAAAGATTTATTTTCATTAATGGCATCAATTGCTGAGCCAATACAATGGCCCATTAATTAGAATAAGCTTAACTACCTAGTTCTGCATTTATAGACTTCAGCTCGGTTGCCATAAGGACAGAAATATCTCCAGACTGGAGATGAACAGAATCTATACAAACACACATGGACTAATTACTCAAGGTTTATGTTTGTGTTCAGAATTGGCTGGAGATCAGATGAAATTGATTTTCACGGGTTTTGCTCCACATGTCCCTTATTTGCAGATATAAGGTGGGTTTTCCATTCTTATCATTATTTTATCCTTATTGGGTTTAACATCTTTGGATTCCTTGAGACATAAGCAATTAAATGCAAGCCAGTGCTAACTGTTGGGCATGAAAACACTCTACAATTTTATCAGCAGATCGTTCTGAAATGAACGTTCCAGAAACAGACATTCCTTTACACCGTGCAAGCATATGTGGAAAAAAGTCAGAAAGCTAGAGGCCAATCTTGAAAGTCTTTTCACAAAGGGAACTCTCAGGTTTGCACAGGAGTCCCACACGGAGAAGACACTGTGGGACTGGCTTAAAGACTTTCAGTGCAATGAAATTAAGACCTAGCATACGCTCAGGAAAATCACAACTTGTGGCAGCCATTTAATTCTTTGCACTACAGTGAAAGTGGAATGGTAAAGAGACCGAGCTGGGGTGGAAGGAAAAAAAGAGAATTAATGGGGGAAGGGAGAAGTAATGCACAAATGCTTTAAAATGAGTTTTCTGCAATTTTTCCTGCTAAATATCTTTTACCTATTTTGGACTACTAAGTGGTTTGGATTTTTAAAGCTCAAACAAAAATGTTTTGCTTTTCTTTTGCTCGCAAAAAGTTCTGGTATTAAATTTTATTTTTACTTGTAAGAATTGTCATGGAAGGTCAGAAAACCAGCACTTTTCTAACCCCCAACACGGTATTGTGCCAAAATCTTTCCAGTTTTCTATCTCTGCAGCTTTCAACACATTACTTGTTGATTACGAAGATGCACTTTCCAACTTCTAAAAGCCTCTGAAATTTCTCTAAAGCAAAAGGCAATATTCTCCCTAGCCATGTTGCACAGTCTGGCTCCTTAGCAGCTTTAAATTATTCATCTCCCTTTCTCTACCTCTCCTGCCAAACTCAAGATGATCCAGAGCATTAGATTTTATCACAAATATAAGATTTCCAAAGACATTTTGCACCATCAGGAGTCTGAGTGAGCCATATGGTTTTTATTTTGGTACATCTACGCGGCACTGCAGTCTCAGAGCATTTGTCACCAGGTAAATTCAATGGACAAGTATCCAATTTTACACTTCTAATCCTGGGGTAAATACATGGATTCCTACTGAGGTGCTCTTGTTTAGTACACAACCCTACAGAGTGGATGGATGGATTCCTAAAAAAGAAATTCTCCAACCACCAGGGATTTTAGTCGCACCTATGCATCACCGTAAAGGAGCTGGAAGAGACTTTGGGATACTCAGCTCTTACTGCTCCCTGTGAGGCCAGGAGGATCTGCCCAAGGGTAGGTCAAATGCTATTCCAAAGACTACATTTTTCTCTCCTTTGTATAACCTTCTGATAAAAGAGAGGTGATCTATCACTCCATATTGAATCCACTTCTTTGGAAGACAAGAAGTTGTGCAAATGCTTCAAGTTTTAATTTTCTTATATTTAGAAAAGAAACTGTTAATAAACTAAGGAGCTAAATATCTGGTGACAACCAGTTTATACTAACCATGAGTATGGTTGGTGAAGAGGCCATGTTTCCATGCCCCCTCCCTAACGTTGCTGTAACCAACAGAGCCATTTGAAAATATCTTTCTTTACACTGCAACATTTGCAAATCTCAACAGCATATGATGGGCTGTGAGCCCAATAATGCTTATCGGCATTAAAACAAAGGGAACTTCTCATGGTATTCGAGCAAAACACTTGTGTATGTAAGTGCCTGCAGAACTGGGGTCAGGCTTATCAATTAATGAGTTTCCCTGCATCTATTTTTTCAGCTCTTCTCTTGCACTAGATCCCAATATCAGACTGAAAGAAAGGAACATTTCCTTTTCATTATTGCCTCTGTATTTTTTTTTTTTAAACTCTCTCTTATTTTAAGTCACCCTTTCTGAAGACCTTAATGAGAAATCTTTGCAGGTTGTTGGCGTGCATCCACCTACTTCTGATGTTACTTGGTCTGCTGCTGATGATTCCTATGAGCTGCACATGATGCTAATGTACCACTAAAGTGACTGCATTCTTCTTTAAATTGTCGTTTCTTTCTAATTCTTGCACTAAAAGAAGTTAGGTCTCCAACATTATTCCAGGCATATTATCCGGAAGAACGGTGCTTGGGGCAGTGTTTAAAGTCCACTCAATAGCTGCTGGTTGCTGATGCTGTATCAATCACACAGGAGCGGGAAGCAGAATACGCTTGCAAGTCATTACAGAAACCAGAGGTTAATTCTCTGGTAATACAATCCGCCAGTATGCAGAACTATAAACTGTAAATACAGTCCTCTTTAAAAGCAATAATAGACCTAGTGGAAATAAAATCCTATGCAACCTCTTATGCCTTTCAGCTTTCCAAGTGCACCAGAGCATAGCTGAACAGAAATAACAACTACCTCCACCAGCAGTATAAACAGAACGAGCACCGCTGAGATTAGATATCAAGACAGCATTCTTCATAAAAAGATGCAGCAAATAAAAGTGTACTACATCATTGAAAATCATCTGTTCATAAAATCACCTTCTGAGGCAAAATTTTCTGCTGTTTCATTCACAAGCTCAGCAGAAGTGTCCTATGTAATTCTTAAACTTTCTAAATCACACTTTGCTTCTCTTGTCCGGGAAATGCCTTTGGCCCCAGTGAAAAAAAGCATCATTAGCTACTTGATTTCAACTTTGGCATCTATAAGCTTTCTCCTGGAGCCAGTGATGCCAGTGGAAAAGCCCCTGACTTCTGCAAGGTCCAGGAGGAAGCAACTTTGAACAAACTGGGTAAGATTAAGGCTCTCCAGCTTTCTTCAGATTCTGAACCAGTAAGAAAAACACTGTAGATCTGAAGCCATGGGAAGATTAATGCTTGTGTGCTAGGGAAGTTTTGCTGATAAATTAGGCTTGTTGAAATAAAAAAACTGAAAGATGCAAAATGATACAAAGGAGAAAATAAGTAATTAAAGGCTTAAAACAGTGCAGTTGAAGTCAAACATCAAAACGAGAGATGGATGATTTACCTAGTTCACTGTCCAGTTCCTCCGTGTGTACCCCTTCTTCTCCAAGGGAAGAGCAGTAAATGAGACAGAAAAAATTAAAAGAAAAATTCAGATACCAGCACCAAGCAAGAAATTCCCTACAGCAAACAGCAGAACCAGCACTAATTTTCTACAGACCAAGCCCAACCTTTCCATTTATCACACTTTAGTGATCAGAATATTGATGGATCTGATGCAGATAATGAAAGAACTGGTTCCTGCATTCTCAAAAAAACTGTGTCGGTTGACTCCCTCCCATGCCACAGTTGGATATGGCAAAGTAATACATTTGTGGTGTTCTCACTGGAGTGAAGCTTCGCCCTCAGATCCGTATGGTCCGACCTTTGCAATCCGTTCTGTAGACACATGGATCTGTCAGCAGGTCAGACCTGAATACCGATGAAGAAATCTGAGAGGAAAACCTTGCATCTAAATAAGAACTAATGTAGCAAGGTTTTCGAGAAAGTACCTAAATTTATGTGCATACAAGGTCCAATTGACTTCATTGTAACCACTCAGATGATTTAAGATAGAGATGAAGCGAAGCGCCTTGTTTAACTGGAGTCACAGGCCCACACCAAAGTCCAGATGCCCTGGTGAGGCACGCACAGGAATGCACCAGTTTTAGCGGGGCTCCTGGGACAAAGATCACATAATTTTCCAAACATACAAAGCCATCAATATTCACTGTTGCTCCATTTATCATTATCTGCTCCATATTCATAAGTTAACAGTGACACAGATGATTAAAGTATTGCTTAGCCTATAAATAATAATAATGCAGTCTGAAAATGAAAGATGATGACAAAACCAGAACAAAGATGGTAAAAACAATCTTGGACCTCATACAGTAAAGTATAAGCCACATAAATGAATGACAGAAGCAAACAGAAGATGTAGTGTCACAGCATTGCTTTTGAAAATTTGGACACCGAAAAAAAACACTTCCATGACCTGTTTGCAATACATTCTACCAAAACAGTCGCTTCGGACCATTAGCATGAAATACAAATTGCAATTTCTTTTGATAGCCTGAACAACTGCAAATGACTGAAAACTTGTTAGGGACATGTATCCTGACAAAGAAAAAAACCACAAGGCAACTGCACCCAGACAAATCTGAAATGACATCTAACATTCATAAAACCCACAAACAGGATGGCCCGAAAACTCATGAGCACAGCCCCCCCCCAAACAAACCAGAGGAGAAGTGCCACTGACTTCAGTGGAAACACTCCCAACAGTGATGACCCTTGCCAAAAACCGCCCAATTTCTGTGATGCAGTGAAAATAGCCTTCTCTTTTCTTTGTGCTCGTGCTGTTTTCTAAAACAGAATTATTCCTACGTGCAAAGCAAGATCAAAGCAGCCAAGCAAAACAGTGCAGCGCACTGCTGTACCTATGAAGCAACTGGTTTAACTGTTTAATGTTAAAAATATTCGTTAATGAGCAACTTAGTGAATGAAGTGAAGGGGTGTGGGGGAAGATGAAATCAGCTGATTTTAAGGACCTGATAAACAGAAATGCCACTACTCTGTAAAATTATGAACTTAATTGAATACAAAAAATTACCCAGCTGTTATGTTTCTAATCCCAATTAAATAAATTATCCCGATGCTTGGTTTATAATTGCTAAGGAGACAGGTTTGAAAGACCTTCCCTTCTGTGAGGAGACTTAAAACTCTTTTACAGGGGGGTTCAGCCACCCACCGTTGTCTCATCCCGCCGGCTGCTCCTTGCCCAGCCTCAGAGCATAGCGCGGGGCACGACACGACACGACGCAGGGCTTGCTAGCTTCTATGAAGAAAATTAACTCTATCCCAGCCGAAACCAGGACAGAAAGCCAGGACAGAAGCTGTGCTTCAGGGAAGGCTACCTTCTGAAAGAGGTGTGCTGAGACTTAGCAACCTCCTCTCGAAATTGCCAGCAATGCTTAAGTGCAAGGAAGAGGGAGCTTTGCCTGCATACGCTCTTATTTAACTTTGTTCCAGTTCTGATACCCACTGACATATCCATTTTTAGGTGCAGAGCAAGGCCTTCATTAATCCAGCTCCCTCCGCTTGCTCCTTGACAGATGCTGCCAGTTGCTAAGGATCTGAAGTAGGCGGCAGCTCGGTATGATGAGTTTTTGCCCGGGCTTTGCACACCCTTAGCCTCAGAGCATAGCGCGGGGCACGACACGACACGACGCAGGGCTTGCTAGCTTCTATGAAGAAAATTAACTCTATCCCAGCCGAAACCAGGACAGAAAGCCAGGACAGAAGCTGTGCTTCAGGGAAGGCTACCTTCTGAAAGAGGTGTGCTGAGACTTAGCAACCTCCTCTCGAAATTGCCAGCAATGCTTAAGTGCAAGGAAGAGGGAGCTTTGCCTGCATACGCTCTTATTTAACTTTGTTCCAGTTCTGATACCCACTGACATATCCATTTTTAGGTGCAGAGCAAGGCCTTCATTAATCCAGCTCCCTCCGCTTGCTCCTTGACAGATGCTGCCAGTTGCTAAGGATCTGAAGTAGGCGGCAGCTCGGTATGATGAGTTTTTGCCCGGGCTTTGCACACCCTTGCGGTCTGGGCGTTTGCTGCGTTGTGCACTAAGAAGTTGGTGACCTGCTTCATCATGGCAGCGAAAGCTGCACAGGCAAATTCTCGCATCCCGCAAAATCTCACATGTGAAAGGAAGGAGAGGTTGAAAAACTGCATGTGCAAAAATAGTAACAGTTCTGGAGGCCAGAGTTGAACCTACCAGTAAAAAAGGGACGAAGTGAGTTGATCCTTTTCCGAAGTAAAATCATAACTCTTATTGAGCTGACTCACACCAGCAGGAGGTTAATCATATTATGAAAACTAATTTTACAAGGACAGCACCAAGACTGACGAAGTAAACCCTTCCATTCTTAAGATATGTGATAGCATTGTGCTAGCCAGAATTCTGCATTAGATTACCATCGCCTTTCCTGGTCAGTAGACCAAAACGTCCACATAGGTTTTCACAAATGTTTAAATTATTTTCATCATGATTCCCTTTTTCTTCCAGCATCTCCTAAAAGATGCAGGGAAAGAACCTCCTTTAACAGTCCTGCATTTGGCTGCTCTAAACTGGACAGTGGCTTGCATTTCCAACATCTCAAGGAATACAAAATCACATCAGTGTAGATTTTCAGTGGCAAACATCTACACTTTCAAATAGAATTTGTTTTCAGCAATCAACGCTAAGTAGACTGTCAGAATTTAACAGCAGAAGTGAAGCAATTGAGTTATTTCTGCTCAAACAAGGAACAACATAACTCTTTCAAATTCCTGTAAAGCAGGTGGTTGAAGTGTAACACAATGGGGCACGCAGAGGTTCAGTCGCCTTCCTCCTACACAGCAATCCAAGGAGCGAACACGTTAGAAAGCTTTGAGTCTTGTTCAGGACCAGCGACTGTTCAAATGCCTTTGCAAAAAGAGGCCTCTTGCTTCTAGCACCTCTTTGATTTTTATTAAATGATCTGCCACCTCAGTGGCTACCTTACATACACAGGCAGTGATTTTACAACAGAGCGGATATCGTCTCTATGCACTTACTCATAAACCTTTTTTGGTTTTTTAGGTATTTCTGAACACAGGTTATTGGAAGGGGGGAAACAAAGAAAGCCACCTAGAAATGGACCAAACACATCATTATCTTATTTTTTTCAGTCTCTTACCATCATCTTCACATTCTTCTAGAGGCTTCTGCTGTTTGTTCAGGCACCGTGGATCTAGCCAAGATGTTGTTTTTGTGTTATGGCTGGAGAACAAAAATTGAAATATGACCTTTGTTAATAAAGTAGAGCTGAAGTATCAGTGACATAAAAGTATATATCCTCTTTGTTATTCAACAGACCTAAAGGCATCCTTTTGCTTCAGAAGAAATGGCATTTCAATGACAAGTTTTGCAAACTCGTCTACAAAATCACAAGACTCTTGGCATTGAAAACACGAAAGTGAAAAGTCATGTGAATGCTGCAATATTATAATGTTAATTTCCAAACTTTCATTTTGGTGGTTTGTTTCTTAATTCCAGGAGCTGCCTCTGAGCCATTTGCCTCCTGACTTTTCAACAAAAGTTTTCCTTCCTCCCTAAACCACACAGTGACCTTTTTTCCTGCAAAAGACCTCTGGCATTTGTCTAGAATGGACCCAAGCATTAGTCAAAACCAGAATTTCCAGTGAAAATACACAAATAAAAATGTTCCGTCAAAGCCTCTGATGGAAGTCGAACAACTTTACTTTCAACTCTTCCTTTCTACAAGTGCCCTGACCATCATGATGCCAGACCCAGCAGTGAAGGCTGCACAGTAAACAGGCTTAAAAGACATTTTTCTATAAATCATGTTCTCCCATCATTTCATTTGCATATGGAGACAATCTTGTAATATAATGTCTCTTCTACAGCCTGATGTCATCTTAGACATAACCTGCAAAGATAGCCCTCCAGTCCCCGAGGTATCATTTATCTAGCTTAGCCTTTAACACTGCTTAACAGTTTTAAGTTTCAATACCATAGTAATGCTATTTACTCCTCCTTCAAGGTCTCAGAGAGCTTTACAAACTTAACCTTAGCCTCACAACAGCCTCACGAAGCTGAAAATGCTGTAAGGAGGGCTATGAACCCCGAGGAACTAACAACCATCAAACTTGTATTTGCCTGTAAGAGGGGACTGCCCTGCTCCTAGGATCTGAGCATGTAAATAAAAGGTCCTTGTTTTACACCTCCTACGACCCAGCCCTCCCAAGGCAGGATGAGCAAATGCATTTAATCCTTTTGTGTGCTTCAGAGCAATTAATTGCCAACTAGAAAAGTGAATAGCAGAAATTCAGCAAGTTGGGCAAATTAACATCAATAAAGCAGGGGGGGTTCTGCCAACTTATACATCAGGAAGTCTGCGGTCTAGCTGAGAAAGAGGGCGGTGGGGGGAGAGCAATGAAATGTTCCCATGTTTCTCGCAACTTCGCCTCCCTTACCAAAGGCTTACAACTCCATGGTTTGCTGAGGCACAGAAAATTTAGCTAAACACCTTTCAGATCATACACTGGGAGGGACGGGATTGTGTTAGACCTGTAACATGCAGGTAATGAGGGACTGAGATATGTTGGCTAATGAAAATCCCAATTAAAGCACCAGAGAAACAGATCTCAAGAGCCAAACTGCTTCAGCTATAAGCCATCAGGACCAGTTATCTGACACGCAGCTCTGGCCCCACTGGACCTGTGCTGGTTCTGTGCAAGTGTCTCAGATGTTCCCATACTGTTCCCTTCAGCACCCTGACTTGATAACCCAAAGTGCTGAAGACATCTGAGCCAGCTTGGGTCCGCACAGCTCATTAGCTTGCTCTCTTAGTTTGATACAAATCAAACTAAATTGTTCCTAGGCTCAGGATGTCCTTAGAATTAATAGAACTGCAGTCATTCTGTGCTGCATCCACACTAACACATTCTTGCACCAAAATCACCCCCTACACGTGCGTATCCTCAAAACGGTCAATCTGCACTGCAGGGAAGGAAGCAGTTGTGTGCTACCAGATTTTCATGACAGAGAGACAGCCGTGTGTGTGCAGGCGATGCTTTTCCACCACGTATACGATTCTCCTGCAAAAGGTTTAACAAATCACTTAAGGTGCTACAGTCCTGCATTGCCAAGAGAACACGAGCGCACAGAGAATATAGCAGCGATGGGGATGGTTTTGGGGGAAATTGGTGGCAGCAGCAGAACCCCTTGCTGAAGCACCTGTAGGGAAGGACAGCAGGGGCCCACATGGGGACAAAAAAGGGAGCAACCGGATGCTTGAGCAGCATTTAGGGCTCATCATCTGTCCTCCTCCAGGGAGGAAAATGGCAGGCTGGATGTGCTATTACTCAGGCTGTTATATATACATTAAAGCCAGAAAGCACGTCAAAGAATGAGGCACCCTGAGGACATAACGAGGGGCAGAACACCATGTTCGGGATAATGAACACATTTCAGTTTCATCTGATATGCAGCCGATGAGAATTTGCATTGTGCCTTCTAGACTTCGGCTTACACCAGGGGGTGGTGGAGCCTCTTCAGGTGATTGAGAGCACCCTGGAAAATGGCCTTTTTCACAGCAGCCCTCTCCCAGCTGGTGAAGAGCTGCTGTGGTGCTCTCAGTCCTCCCAGCACCTCAGACCTTCTGGCTTTCTATTCTAATGTGTTCCTCTGCTGTTGCAGCCAAGGCAAAACTTGCTCTGACGAACATTTCCTTGGCCCTGTCCAGAAATCCTGATGACGGAGCAGGACTGCTGCCCTCACTGCCCCAACCCAGCAGGATTCTCCAGAGCACCAGGAGGGGCGTCAGCAGAGGAGGTTCTTCTGTACTAACTGGCCACTGGCTTCTGGTGCACAAACAGAGGATCTCAGTTTCCAAGTCCGCATTAAACAGACCATCAAATCCAAAATCAATTCTTCACCCCTTTCTTCTACCTGGGCAGCTAAGGGCTTGAGTTTCAAAAGATAATTGAATTTTAATGGCTAGCTAAACTCTCTGCAAGAAATCTCTTCCACTAACAGGTCCCACTTTATAAGTTACTCCTATCTCAATAAATCTTGACAAGTATAATTAGAGACTATTATTTATGGCATGAAAAAATCAATATCATCATAAAACTGCTGACAGCACTCAGCTCTTAGGCAAAGTCTGCAGAGCACAAGGTACTTCTTGCTTTTCCAAACTTACTGTGCCTACTCTGCACTGAGCTATGCCTTCTGCAAATCACTGGAGCACGTTAACACATTTGGCCCATTGGCTCGGAGAAGAGGACAACACACAAAGTCCATTCCCTGGCTCTGCTACCCCCCTGAGCACACAACCAGAGGAATTCTCTCTGCTGGATTACGCACAGAGGCAGGCTCTGGAAATGAAGTCTCAGCCCTTTCAATTAGGAGCTTTCATTCCACCCGTGAAAACGACTGGCCCATATTTTATAAATATCTGTTGCTTTTGTAACTACCGTCATAAAATGAACAATTCCCCCTGCCTTCGAACTCAGGAGTAATTTGGATGTTAATCCAATCAGGAAATGCAAAACCCCTTCAGAAGCAGTGAAGAATGTACAGCTCTGCAACATAACTGTAGACACTGAATATTTAATATGCACACATACACACACAAAATGCATCCATGGAGGTTCACTTATGCCCAGAGGGAGAGGGAGCGAGATGGAATTAGAACAATAAAAATGTGCTTTACTCTATAAAATAGACTTCTCCATTCTCGGTGTAGGCCATCTCCCAGTTTTCCGGCAGAGGACCTAGGTTATCCTCGGCAGAAGGAGGTAGGTATTGAGGGAGGTTCTGAGATGGTTCCGTGGTGGGAAGGTTGGTGTGGTTATCAATCGCGGACGGTGGGGCTGTCTCTCTTACGATATGCGTATGATGCTCGTCTTGGTCACCAGACTCTGCTGTAGAATAAACACGCACAAATAAAATGGAGAATCAGACTTTTTCTCCTCCCATTTGCTTCTCCAGATTTATCCTTACAGTTTTCCTCTCCCTGCTTTTTAATTTGCACAACACAGTGACAGATGAAGGGAGGGCAGAGGCTCTGCAGTCTTTGCCAGCAGGGGCGAGCTTGCTTTGCCCACACAGGCTCTGCCAGCCAGACCCTCGCCAGCGCAAATCAGAAGCTGTGATCGGCTCCCGTGTTCGCTCTAATAGGCCCTGCTGAGGTACCAAAGTCTTCCAAGCTGTCTGAGGCCAGGACTCACTGATGTAGATGAGCTCAATGGGCTTCTGAGCAGGCTTACAGGTTCACTCCCGCAGTGCCAATTGCGGGACAGGGATTAGGAGAACAAAATTTCCTGTTTGAAGAATGATCAAAAGGGGAGATTTTTACAAGTGCAGAAGGTACCAGAAGCTCAAAGTCAACAAGTCAATGGTGAACATCTTTACTGAGGTGCGTTTTTTCTAATTAAAAATTAAAAAGAATGTCAGCACTACACCATTGTGTCCACATGTTGCTGCTCACTAGTGCTTGTTCTAGCTGTTTGAGGAGGTTTATTCCATGGCTCAGCACTGTATCCTCCCAGTCGAAGTCACTCAGGAGTATTTTATGATGTATCTGGCCCTCCTCCCCCTAAGGAAACATTTCTGATGCTTATATCCATGCAGTTTGGAGCTGTATCCAAACACTGCTGCTCATTCCCCCCACCCTAATCACAGTAAATGCTCTCCACAAACCAGGTCCTTGTCCCTAACTCCTTCACAGAGACGTTGGCAACAACAGACAAATTCTAAAATTACCCCTGTGTCTAGCAAAGGGATTCTCTCTGTTTGGTTCTTGCAGGTGTTGGAAACCGATGGCAGTATTTCCAAATCACCTGAGACCACCAGCCTCCAGTACATGGGGCAGGCAACACACCGAGCAAAAGCCAGAGAGATCAGCAGCACAGGCTGCGAAGTCCCCGAGCAGCGGGACTGGAAGGGCTCCGCAGCCAAGACCTCTCCAGATCAGAGACCACTGACAGCCCCAACTCATGGCCCACAGCCTTCATTTTTGGGGGGTGGTGGTTAACTGTGCTCTTACCTAGAAAGGTTGGACTAGATGATCCTTAAGGTCCCTTCCAACCTAGGATTCTATGATTCTATGAACTGCAGCTCCTGCGCTATTTCTAGTCTGTGTGCTGCTTTTACGAAAAGGCAAGATACTGAAAATAATAAACTGGGAGAAGGGGGAGGCAAAAGACTATACCAGTACCCTTGACTGCCTGCTTTCTAGCATTCCTGGCATTTGATATTTTTGGGTAGAAGCTGACAAGATAAAGAAGCTTGAATGAATCATCGTCAGCTTAAGACTGTGAGTGTAAACATGCCAAAGTCTGGAAAACACAAGTCATCAAGGAGTCTTCTAAGGAAGCAGGAGTATTTTAATATGGCTAGCACACTTACACATGAAATAAGCATAAGGAATCACTTTGGTATATGAGAAATAACTCCTTTCTTGATTCTGTGCCCATTTAATGGAGGCAAGGGGCCAGGGAGTGATAACGTTGTGACAAATGAGCTGCACCTTCCCGTATTTCATCTTGTGAAGGAAAACAAGGAAGAGAAGTGATGAGTCAGTGCAGGGGCACCAAGCTGAGACTGGCAGCAAGGAGGTCAAACAGCATCTTCCACCAGCTTCCTCCCAAAATGAGATCCTGTGACAAGGGCTCAGGTTGCTGCCGTGTCACAACAACTGAGAAACTACCCTTAGGTGCAAAACTTTGTAGAAGAGCTGGTAAGCAGAGACAGGAACTCCAGCCTGGGAGGGATTAGGCTAGCCAGGAGTGATTTGGGTTAGAAAGATGTAACAGAGCGCAACCCTCAAAGCCATTTGACAGTTTGGCCCAGTGAGGGTCAAAACTAAATCTCAGCCCAAATGCTTTTAAAGCCCTACACAGATGTTAGAGCCAGGACTTTGGCAGGTAAGAACTGGCACGACAGCTCCTACGACTCTGAATCAGAGGCTGAGAAGGAAAATTGCCATGGTGGTAGGAGGTGGCCAGAGGACAAAGGACCGAGCGCCAGCAATGGTGAGAACCCACCACAGCAAGCCGATGTGAAAGGCTCGAAGGTGTGGATAATGCTGCTTGCTAAGTACCTACCTCAAAGGGAGCTAGGAAGATGAATTCGGTGTTTGAAACTGAGCTGAGGAAGTAATGCTCTAAGTGCTAACAAATACTAGGATAATAGACATGGGGAAGAGCTCAGAGCTTCACAAACTTGCAGTTTGTTTCTGTGGAAACTCAACTGATCTCCAATGGTATTTTGCTCTGAATGTGCCTGCACAGCACTTGACTTCAGATTGCAAAAGTTGCCAGTGATCTTTCAGCCAATGCTCAAAGGTAGCCATGGTGATATTGAGATGTCTGTTCCGCAGGACACAAGGACTTCATAAAAACAGAGAGCTTGCACCCATGCTTCAGACCTCATTCCTGCAGCAAGCGGCCCTTGATTTGCTGGAAGGTACCTTGGAGAAGAGGACCTAGCAATTATATGTGATGGTTATCTCTAGATGCAAGGAAGTGCAAAGCAACACATTTTGGAAGGAGAAATAATTAATTTCAAATGAATCCTAGTTGAGCCATTTCATACTGTTTTTAATGACTAGAACTGTCAACCGTAGCTCAACTCTTCCTTGAACTTTCTGCAACAACTGGATTTGAGCTTTACCTCATTTTTTCTCATCAAGCTCAATCCCACAAGGCCTTTTTTGAAGACACTACTGTGCATGTCCATACCCAGACAGCTGCCATCTTGGTCTTGGTGGCCAGCTCTGGCTAGGATTGACACCTTTGCAGGAAACCCATTAAAACCAAACCAAAACAAAAATCCCCTTCCAAAAATCTTCCCCATGTATTGTAACTGATCGACTGTGATATTTTCATTTTACCTGTGAAGCTACTGCTCATTTCAGGTACATCATCCTCTTCCTCATTCTCTGTATGCACTATGCCAGCATTTTGCATATCATTGTACGACTTGGTTCGCTTTGGAGTCGACTGCTTGGAGCCAGGCTGCGGGTTTTGCAAAGCATCGGTGGAAGTCACTTTCCCGCTGAGGGGCTGGCTGGGAGGCTTGGGCGTTCCATAATAGTTACCTAGGAAATAGAAATACATTTGCATCTTCAAAAGAGAGCAGTTTATAGCAGCAAGACTTCTATTTTGTTTTCTTTTTAGTTCCATTAAAATCTCTGTCTCTCCCCACAAGGAAGTAAGTAAACTAACACACATCATTCCCATTTGGGGGGGGACATATTTCATCTCTAGAGCAGACACGGAAATATTTCTTGCCTTTTAAGTTATTCTTGTTGAAGAAAGGAGAAGCAATGGCTGCATTGTTTAGGTGCACTAAGCGTACAAGGGCTAAAACAAAAGGCAGTCATGGTGAATAGCAAAACTTCATCTCGTTACATCTGAATTTCAATTAGCAGCCTTTTTACACGTATGCACCCACACAATGCTATGGCAGATCTGGAGTAAGCCCTGCAGAAAATAAAAAATTCATGACTGCCATCACCCAGATAAGTGATGAAAGGCTCGATGGCCTGCTTTAATACACAGGTTCTTTTAGGGTGGATGTTGCATTTAAAAAGCAAAAACTATTCTCTCTCTAAAAGAAAACTTTGTCAAAGGAGAGAAAAGGAAGGGTACCACGTGGCACTGCTTTCTTCAAAGAGGAAACTCAGCAGTTGGGTCAACTTGGGTAGAAGCGAACAACCAGACCTTAAAGCAAAACTTGAAGGGCCAAAGACGCACCCACAGTTACACAAGCGCAGAGCTCTTGGCAGCCATCACCAGATGTGATGCAAACAGTGCAAAGTGCTTGGGGTACTTCACCGTCATTTTAAGTGACCATGGAAGAAATACAGAATAAGTGCAGGTTCCTCGATGCCAGAACCACACACAGGTGTTTCACTGTTCCTGTGTCACTTCACCTCAAACACCACTGTAGTGCTTGACTTGCCCTGCAAGGCTCCGCAGGAACATTGGGTCTGAATTGGCTTCCGCAGCACTGGGCATTATAGGAGTTCAGGTCTATTGCAAGGCACATCTCTGACGTTTTATACAATGACCTGGGACATACAACTTTTTTACATAAAACTGCCCGAATTTTCCCTTTCAAGAATTATTATTAATTTTCATTTGCCACCTTCAGATTCCAAGGGTGAACTTAAAAATTGTCCCTATACTCTCTGGCATAATGCTCTTCCATACAACTCTGGATAAACCCACGTGGGGGTGCACAGATATAGCTTCAACTGTGGCAGCAGCACAAAACTCTGGTCTCAAATATACCTGTACATTTGATTACATTCTTCATCTATCTCCATAGGCTATGTATAACCTGAAAGCATTTTTCAATTTTTCAGTACCTAATTACATTATATATTTAATATCCATTCCCCAGAAAGCATACATGCCCCTTTATTACCCATTACACTAGATGGAAACTACATGCCAAAGGCAGATTGTGCAAAGGCATTTTAAAACCTCATCCGTGCTAAATTTCTTTTTTCCTTTATTTTTATACACACACATGTGCATTTTTGTAGCAGAAACCAACAACATCGTTCATACGCTGAGCTGTGACCGAGTTTAAAGGTAGCCAAGCAGCTCTGCACTGACCTGCCCCACTGCAACGCATTTCATACTGCTCAGCCACCTCACACTTGAGGTTCAAAATGACGGATCCTTATTTCAGTTTGGAAGTACTTGTTGTTTATCTCAGCTCCTGTTCAGCTGACTGAATTGCCTTTCCCATTAGAGCATCCAAGTCCCTTATGACCCCGAAGCCGTGCGTGCTGCCAGCTTTAGGGTAAGGCCACAGGGATCACGCATGCCCCAGCACTCACAGATCTCAACCTGAGACTCTGGAAGGTCTCTGGACATACCAGGAGCAAGGGAGACTGGGAATCACCCTGGCTAAGGCTGGCAGAGTCCATCTAGGAATACCAATTAGGACATATGTTGCTATCTTTCCCACTCAATGCCTTCCAAGAGGAGAAAAAGTCTTTCTTACAGAGCTGAGGCTGGAGAAGTTGGAGGAGCTCCTATCTCTGCACTTTTACAGCCAGAGTACTAGGACAGCAACACGTGCAGGTTTGTCTTAACAAGGTGTGTTTGAGCCTGTGTACAACGTCGTGGATTCAGCTCCATAGGAGCAGCAACACTCCGCAATGCTTTCATCTTCTGTTCATCATTTCAGAATCTTAATGTACATTGATGCATAATTTATAGGAAGAAGGAAATTACTTCTTCTGGAAAGAGCCTCTAATGGGGATGGAGGCTCCTCAAGCAGGTTGCAGTCACTGCTAGAGAAATGATTCTTATGCTCTATATACTGCAGGACTATTTTATACAAAAAGAGGAGGAATTGGGAAGAGAAAGGGAAAATACAAAGGTAGGTGGGCAGAAAAAGGATAATCAACCCTGCTCTCATCCTACCCTCTTCGGCATTTCTCCCGAAGAATGCTGCTACTTTGGGGGTTTATTTTGGGGTTTTGGTTGGTTGGTTGGTTTTGTTTTTCCAGACAAAATCCATGTTTTCTAAGGATGTTAACAGCTAGGCAGAGATCCACACGTGTGCCATAAACGCGACAACAACTTTTATTTATGACACTGCACATCACGATTTTGTGCAAAATTTACTTCAGGTCTGTTGTAAACGGTTAAATCTTTTTGCAATGGATGCAACAAAGTGAATGAAGGGGCTATATAGATGTTGCTAGTGTGGATTTTTATTTCTCCTGGACAAGAGCATAGCACAGATGTTGCCATCCCTCCTCCAATTACAGAGAAATACATGATTATATCTTCGAGTTTTGTTCCTTTTCCATCCCTCTAGCAACAAGCCAGGCTGGAGTTCCTAACAGTCCACAGAAAGCTGTTCCTCAAGCAGAAAAACAGGCTTCTCTAAAGTTTTTCAGAGCTGCTTACACTGAAATCATTAGTCACTTTTCAAACCAACCATGGCTGTTTGTACTGTTAGTGAATAATTATTTTCTACCTACACAGCGTGCTGTCTTAGAGGATCCCCACAAGTATATATGAACACATACAAAGAGCAAATATGAATTTGAATCTGAGCATGGCTCTGCATGTGTGAGTTTTGTTTTTGCAGAATATGGGAAACGCAGCCACTGGGGCTGAACTTTTCTTTTTCCTCCACAGGAGGCACATTCAGCCTGAGTCAATATTCCAAAAAATCACAGCTCTTCCTTCAGATTCACACAAGGACATAGAGGCTTGGGAAACAACCCAGCTCACGATGAAAAACTGCAAAAGAAAGCTCCAAGCCAGCTTCCAGGTGACATTCTTTCCCTCATGTTTGCTGGGTGCAGTCAGACCTATTCCTCTTCTCTAGGCAGTTCTTTCAGAAGACATGGCACATAGGCCCGGGCCTGGGGGCAGAAACACCATTAGGAGGGACTGGCACTTAAAATTATCATCAAAACTCATGTTTAATCCTAGAAATTAGAAAGAGAAAATATTTACCCTGTGACTCAGAAAGCCAAACGTGCAGCATTAACAACTGACAGTGAACAGCCCAGCAAGAGTTTTAAAACACTCAGACTTGACATTATTTGTTCAAATTAAATCTGTCAATGTTTATGAAAAAACATACATTTAAAAATATGCTTTAACAGTGTTTTGTGAGCCACTTGTAAGCCTAAAGAAGGGGCTAACTTCATAGCCAGTGTAATTTGTACTGAATATCCAATCAGCTCTAATTATTAACAGCATGTTACATGTGCATACACAAGCATCTGTCATCCCAGAGGATCCCAAAACATTTTCTAAAGGCAGCACAGTAGTTATGGCAGGACTTCCCGGGGTGCAGAGCTCCCCCAAAGGCTCAAGTGAAGCTCTGCAAAACCCCCGTGATGTCTCAAAGCTGGGAAAGAGCAGCCCATCTCCCAGATAAAGGAGATTTCTGGATTAAGACAGTGAGAAAACCTCTACTTTTCTTTGGAGGTGCCAGTTCTGAAGCAGCCAGCATGGCAGAAATGGCACTTTCCCATGTCTGATTCCTACGGGAACCAGGCTCCTAAGCTTTACCCTCTTCTCAATCACGTTTGGATCCTGCTTACAGCAACCAAATGAACAGCTAAATCCAATGCATTCACTCAGGAGATGCACATGCCATTAACTGAATTCCTTGTTATCACCTTTCACTAACCCTTATTTTATTCAGTCCCTTGGTACCTAAAGTTTATTTAACCACAACTGAAGTTTGATGGCAGCTCTTACAGCCAAATCCATGACTTAAGCCATGCACTCTGAAGCGCCACTCAGGAGAGTGCACAAAAATAACAATAATAATGGAAAAAAAAAAAAGAATAGCTATTTGGAATGGGTTGATTTCTTTTCATCTCCTTATCTCTAAGTGTCAGCAGCTTACACATTTTAGCATCACGCACAGTAATTAGACTCTGGTAACAGCTAATCACAACAATAAGACAAGTTCTCATCATCATAACACTTCTTCCTCTGCCAATTCAAGCAGTGATCATAATCAATGAAAGAAAACTACAGCAGCTTCTCCCCTGTCCTGCAGCTTATGAATTAAAGCAACGCTGTCAGCCAAGAGAACTTCCTTTTTAGGTTTCAGAAACCTAGTGGTGATGGAAAACTTTTCTTGTATTTCAAAATAACAAAACATTCTTATTTAACATCCCCCTGATGGGCAGTAAATTCACAGACAACCTTAAGTTTTTTATGTGACCTGGAATTTGAAATGTAATTCACAAAAATACACCAATTAGCTACACTTAAGTAAAATAACTATGAATCTAATCCATAAAAACTTCTGTCAATCACCATTCAATTCGAGTTGAAAAGTCTCCGTCCATCCAAGATGCTGTTTCTGGAATGGGTAGCAATGCAGAAGAACAGAGAGGCAATCTAAAAGGCTGTAAAGTGGAATGGATATGAAAGTAGGTGTTTCACCTTGCAGAGACCAGAGAGGCTGCTGGGGTGGGGCCAGGGCAGCAGAGCTGACCTGGAGAGGTGAAAGAAGGCAGAGGAGCTGTGTACAAGGTCAAGCACGAGACCGAGCATTAACCCCAATGGCACAATTCCAGTTGAAGAATGTGGT